TTTTACTTCATCATCAATCTAAAGCTTAATTTTGCTCATTATAAGATTCTTGGTTGGCATCCATTTTCTTTCAGAGTATAGTATATGTTGTTCTAGCTTTCAGAGTCTGGGCTGAAAAATCTGCAGATAACATAATTGGTTTCCCCCTATATGTAATCTGATTCCTTTCTCTATGGTTTTTAAAATTTTCTCTTTATTCTGGATGCTAGGCATTTTCAGTATAATGTGCCTTGGTGAGGATCTGTTGTAATTTTGTACATTTGGTGTCCTATAAGCCTCTTGTATTTGATTTTCCAATTCATTCTTTATGTTTGGAAAATTTTCTGATTTTATTTCTTTATATAGATTATTCATTCCTTTGGTTTGGAACTCTATTCCTTCCTCTATCCCAGTAACTCTTAAATTTTGTTTTTTATGTTATCCCATAATTCTTGAATGTTCTGCTCATGGTTTCTTACCATCTTCACTGTGTGGTCAACATTCTTTTCAAGATTATATATTTTGTCTTCATTGTCTAAGGTCCTGTCTTCCAAATTATCTAATCTGATGGTGGTGCTTTCTGTTGAGTTTTTAATTTGATTTATTGTTTCTTTCATTTCAAGGATTTCTGTTTGTTTTTTTTTAGAAACTCTATCTCCCTATTGAAATAATCTTTTGCTTCCTGTATTTGCTTTCTTATATTATCTACAACTATATATTTGCTTATGTAGTTCTTTATTGAATTGATCTTTTGCTGCCTGTATTTGCTTTCTTATATTATCCTTTAATTCACAGAACATTTTAATTGTGTACATCCTGAACACCTTCTTTGTAATTTCTTCTGTTGTGCTGGCCATGGATCCTAATAATGTAGTTATCTTGGTTTGTTTAGGGCACTTTCTTCTCTTGTTTTTTCATGTTGTTTGTATCTTCCTTTCTAGCACTCTGGATCTGAGGAATTACAGTTTTTACCCTATAGGCTTATAGTGTCCCTGCAAGGTTCCAATACCTTTCCTTTAAGGGGCAGAACAATATTAACAGATCTCAATACAAACTATATACTACCTTAAAACAAATAGCTGCTATTAAGACATTTCGGTTTTGTCACAATATACAGAAATGGAGAGTTCAATTATTATCTACAATATAAATAGTAGGTTTGCAAAAGGGTCTACAGTTTCAGATGGTGAACAAAGATCTGGGGATGAGGTGTAGGATGAGATATTGAGGGGGTGGGGTGGGAGGTGAGGATATAGATTTATTAGATCTTAGGAAGCATGAAAGAGGAATATATAGAGAGGTTGGTTAGTATCAGGAGAAGAGAGAGAAAGTGATTTGGGGGAGACAAGTAAGAGGGAAGACAATAGAGTATAGAAAACAAACATAAATAGTAAAAAAAATTAAAAATGTAAAAATAGGAGATAAGAGAATATACAACACAACTGTAACATACTATTCACACATCCCAGTCCTCAGTAGACTAATTCATGAAAAATACTTGATTTCACAAATGTTGGGAATGTGACAGTCGGAGAAGAGAGAGAAAAGAGAAAAAAATAATTTTTTTTTTGTAAGAAAATACAAGGATTGTTTTTATTGGAGATCAGTATCTTTTCTGATTCCCTTTTCATCCAATAGGTGGGGTTGTCTGTTGTTTGCTGGTATCTCCACCCTCAGGATGGTGAAGTTTAGTATGGGAGGTTGGTCTTGGGGGTGGAGTTCCTGGAGGCAGGATAAAGCACTTGCCATTCTGATGGGAGACTGTCTCCCAACTGTCTTCTTTGGGGCCCACTCTTGTGATGTGGGCATTTTATCTCCTTATATGACCTGTAGACCTCACAATTCCTGGTCTCTAATTTAGTCTCAAACTGTATCTCACTCACCACTTCCCTTTCTACTTCCCAATAAGGAACCTTTCTCACCAGAGGTCTTGTGTGCTGTGCTCTTAGGGCTGTGCACCCTTTCTGCAGAGCTGTTTTGTTCTGGGCAGTTCAGGACCAGGTTTGGGAGCTATAGACTGGATGTGTAGCTGCAAACACTGTGCTGGGTTAGTGCTGCTGGGTAGAGGCGGGAGTTGGGGACTATAGGTACCTTGATATTGCTTCTATGCACCAGCTGGTGTCCCAAGCTGGGAGTTGTCCCAAGCTTGGAGTTGCCCCAACTAAAGATGACAACAAAGATGGAGGCAGCTGCTTTAAGTGATGGGGTGTTGGGTGGGGTGGGGTCGAACGGTGGCATTGAGCAGCATTTTCAGAGATACAGCTCTGTGGTATGCAGTGTTGTGGCTGGTGGCTGTTTCCAGACCCTGTGCCATGTCCCCAGGTGCAGACTACCACATGTATGGGATTATGGCAGTGGTTGCAGTGTCACAAGATGGAGGTGACTGGGGGAGCCTCATGTTAGTAGATTAGGGTTCACATGGGAGTGGCAGCCAGAAGTCTTGCACATGGGCAATGGCTGGGTGTCCAGCGTGGGAGCTTCGGCTAGGATTCCTGCTTGAGTGCTGATGCCTGTGGTCCTACTCAGGCACCTGGAGGTCCTGTGTGGGTGAGTGGCCAGGAGTCCTGCACTGACACTTAGGCCTGGAGACCTGCACGAGCACAGCAGCCATGATTCCTGCACTTGAGCAGCTGTTGGATGTCCTCTAATAACTCACAGAGAAACAGTATTTCCACTACTTGAATCACAGGTCACAGAGTGACACAGAATGCAGCCCCCCTCGGGCCCGCCATCTTGGAACCTTCTCCCAAATGGTTTTTGAATACTCTGCACAAAGTTCTATAATTTAAGGCAGTAAAATTTTAGGAAATTAAAGTTTTACAAAGTAGACGATTACTTAAAAATAAATATGGTCAAGATAGGTAGATTTCAGGTAGACTTGGCAGCATAGAAGTTTTCTTTTTGTTGTTATTAAATCAGAGTCTCAACTATGTTGCCTCAAACTCCTACGCTCCTGCCTGAGCCCTTGTTGGAATAAGTTTTCATACTCAAGTTTCTGGTAAATCATAAACAAACAAGAGTGCTATAACATCAACCCACCTTGTATGATTGGTGTCCTTATTGCCACACAATCTCCTAGTTAAATAGTAGAAGAGGTAGAATCCTATTAATAAGTAATAATAACCATATCAAATTATGTAATTAATATTTGTAGGATAATAGGTTTAAATACAGAGGGCTTATTTCCTAGGAAAAAAGGGAATAAGAATGTTTCTAATAGCAATTTAAGAGTTAAGAATCTCAAAATAACCATTGCATATAAAAAGGTATGTTTATGCCAAGAAACATTTTATTTATGTTCAGCACACACTTTTACTGAAAGTTCTAAGTAATTCCTACATTGAAAATGTGTTCATTTGGTAGGAACCTGAAGCTAAATGAAGTAACTTTTCCTGAAAAACTCATGGAGACCATAAATCTAATATCTATGCAAGCACTCTATAGTAAATTATTTCATTATGGTGGGGCATTCCATTATATAATTGACAGGCTGAAATTTGCTACAAAGTTGACAACTATTGTAAGGATTTGGATTACAAGTGGGGTTTTTTCCGCCCTTTAAAATCCATAGCACAAATAGTTGCACATGTTGGGGTCAATCAGTGAGTGTGCTCTCAAAAAAATAAAAATGACGAGCTGGGGCTCAGTGGTAGAGCACTTGCCTCACACATATGAGGCACTGGGTTCAATCTACAGCACCACATAAACATAAATTAATAAACAGATATTGTGTCCACCTACTACTAAAAAATTTTGTTTAATAAAATAAAAATGAAACTTTTAACTTCTCAGTGCTTATTAATGATAAAATGTAAACTTGCTTCTCCTTCAGTCTTCCTTTTTTAAGTAAAGTTAGTACCTAAGCCTGACCTGGAGGTCATTCTCAATTCTCTTTCTTGCCTAACATCACCACCACATCCACATTCAGTTAGTGATAGTTTCTGCAGGTTTGCCCCTTCTCAGCCTACAAAGATTAAAAAATGAATCTTCAAATCAGTTCCCAGCCTCCTTTGAAGCCAGGAATAGCCACCTGGCACGATTCTGGCCAACAATTTAAAGCAAAATTCTTATCCTTTAAAAACATAATTCTGATAAAAAGATTGGGTTAGGTACCAAAGTTTTATTTAACTCAGTGAGGGAGGGAAACAGCAGGAAGAAAAAAATCTAAATGTTTAAATGGTAATATTAAAACTTGGAAATTGTTGTTTTTATAATGAATGGAAGAAAAAAAAGGAGTGCTGAGATAAGATCACTAAATTAGGTACAAAAGTGGTTCAAGTCCTGTGGGGGAGGACAAACCAGAATCTTTAAGGTTATCCTTTCTACTGAACAGGGAAAAAAAAATTATCCCCACTCATCTATTTCATTGGAGTTAGCCTCTAACTGTAGAGTTGTTTGTTATGTAAATATGTGAGCTGAGAGCATAAACCATAGGAAGTACTGTGCTAGAATTACCTTCCCTGGAGAATTAAATGACTGCTTAGCAGACTTTTTTTTTTTTTTTTTAAACACTGGAGTTTGAACCCAGGTGGACTCTACCACTAAGCTACATCCCCAGCCCTTTTTATTTTGACACAGGGTTGTCAAGGGTCTTGCTAAGTTGCTGAGGCTGGCCTCAAACTTGCAGTCTTCCTGCCTTAGTTTCCGGAGTCACTGGGATTCCAGGTATGTGCCACTGTGCCTGGCTTAGCAGCTTCTTAAACAGTGCTATTTCATGACATTAATTAATTAATTAATTAATTAATTACAAGTTTTGAATATTTTCCTCCATAATTTTAATAGTAGACACTGAACTTTACACAGAGTTAAAGCTTCTTCCCTTCTCTGCATTATTCTCTATTATTACTTCAGGGACATTTGCTGGGAATTTGAAGCTGTAGTGTTAATCTAACTTACTTTTCCAGATTTAACATGCTCTGGTCTTAACACAATGATGTTTTCTATTGTTAGTATCAAGAAAAGTATAAGTAGATACAGCAAGTAATGAATCTATTCTAATCAAGTCTACTTTTTGTCTGCAGAGGGGCTGAAACCAGGTGAACCTTTTGATTTCCAAACTTCAGACTTTGGTGCAAGCTAATCAAATGAGGATGCAAATTCCAGCACTGTGAAACCAACAGAAACATCAAAGAACTCAAAGAAACGAACATCTCTTGCACCAAGTCTAGACTCTCAAAACCAATCCATGTCCTCTGTAACCACACAATAAAGAGTTTGGAAATCATATTTTATGTTTTGAAGGCCCATATGCAATACTTGGGAGCCTGAAGTCCAAGCCAGTTGTGGCAGTTGCAGAGTGCTTATTCCATATTCAAATACTTTATAAAGAAGGAAGAGACCCACCCACAAAAATGGGGTCCTAATTAGAATAAGATATAGCCTATGTTTGTATAATTTTATCAAAATGGATTCTACTATCATGTATAAGTAAGTAGAACTGATGAAACAAAATTTTAAAAAAAGAAGGAAGAGAATGAGTCTGATCTCTTGAATATTATGCCTAATAAAGGAATAGAAAATACTTTTGCTGCAGTCCTACACAAAGCAGGAGACTTACAGATGGCATGAAGAAGGTAAAAGCTTATCCATATACTTTTTTAGTTTTTTTTAGCAGGTTTTATGTTTCCATTTCTCAATAATATAATTTCTTTCTACAAGAATTATAGATTTGGGGGCTGGGATTGTGGCTCAGTGGTAGAGTGCTGACCTAGCATGTGTGAGGTGCTGGGTTCAATTCTCAGCACCACATATAAATAAATGAATAAAATAAAAGTCCATCAACATCTTTAATTTTTTAAAAAAAAAGGATTATAGATTTTTCATAATTACAAATAAAATTTGGTTCCTTTACTTTAACTTTAGATACTGGTTAGGAGTTTCCAAACAAAACTTTTTAGCTCTAAAAATAATTATTGTGTTTTATAAAATAAAAATACAGAGAGAAGTTCCAGTGCAGCCTTTGTGTTGTTTCTGACACTTTTACAAATACTTGGACTTTTTCCTCCTTTAGGTTTGGGGTGAATGTGTAGCCAATGATAGTTACTTTTAAAATAGACTCCTGTTAAAAGTGAAGGATGGAAGAGAGGGCTAAGTTTTTTTTTTTAATTAGAAATTGAGATATTACCTTATTATTGAGGCAAACCATTTAAAAATCTTTAGTCTCATTCTTTGCTAGATTTTAATATGTTATACATATTAACAATGTAGTATTGTTACTGATTAGAATTCCTTAAAGGAATTTTTCCCCACTGATATTAACTTAAAGAAAAATTATAATAAGATTGTACATGCTTAATTATAAATTAAGCATCTTTGGTTATAGAGATAATTTGGCCAACAACTATAGACATCATTTCTTCCTATATTGTCTTGGGCATCTAGTATTTATGTATGAAAAAAGTTTTATTTCTTTATGTTTGAGGCGATGACATTTCTTAACTGTACTAGCAGAGAAAACAGTTTGTTCTTCATTATTGTATTTACTGAAGAAATAAAGGCGGGCTAAGGATGTGGCTCAAGTGGTAGCATGCTTGCCTAGCATGTGTGAGGCACGTGGTTCAATTCTCAGCACTACATAAAAATAAAATAAAGATATTGTGTCTACTTAAAACTAAAAAATAAATATTTTTTAAAAGAAAAGAAATAAAGGCAACTTCCTTTACAAATGTATTGTTTTCTTTTTTCCTGGAAGATTAATTTTTATAATTATGGGATAATCGTGGTGTCTTCAAAAAGCATAATAAAATGTAGGCATTAGAATGTAGTTATTTCAAAAATTTTTCTGTTATTTATAGATAAATTAAAATAGAAGCCATGCCCTCTGGAGGAGACAGTAACAGAAGCAGTATGACCAGATACGGTTGGAGTAGTGTATCACTTTCTTTCTGAATTCTTTTCTAACTCCAAGCTTCTATTTACTTACTCACATAAATAGTGCTGATGGTGAATCAAACTGTGATAATGCTTTCCAGAATAAACGTTAAATTTACTGAAAGAATCTTAAAAAAAAAAAACAAGAGGGAGTATTTCAAAAGAGAAAAAATTAAAAAAAAATATTTTAAAATATGTTTAGTAGAAAAAAAAACTGGTTAACAATTAAGAGACTTGAGCTCTAGTGCTGATTTGTTCCTATCAAGTTGTTGTTTTCCCCATTTTCTCCATGAGCAGAAGCTGATATACAGGAAGCTGATGCCTCACCAAAGACCTTGGCTAAAGAAGGAAATAAGACAAGAAGAAAACCCTATCTTTTAACATGTCAAGGTCATTTTATCCTTGTAATAAATACAATAAACTAACATTTAATAATCTTAACTATTTTAGTCAGCTTTTCAGTCTCTATGACAAAAGACCTGGCAAGAACAATTTTAGATGAGAAAACGTTTATTTGCACTCATGGTTTCAGATGCCTCAGTCCATCTCCATTGCTCTGGACCCAAGGTCAGGCAGAACATCGTGGTGGCAGGGTGTGGAAGAGGAAAGCAGCCTAGGACATGACAACCAAGTAGCAGAGAGAGCTCTGCTCACCAGTGACTTACCTCCTCCAGCCACCTCCCCACCTGCCTAAAGATTTTGCCAGTTAATTTATATCAGTGGATTAATATACCAAGTAGGTTAAAGCTCTCATAACCCAATCAGCTCACCTCCAAATTCTCTTGCATGATCTCACATATGAGCTTTGGGGGACATCTCATATCCAAACTGTCACATTAACCCATCAAGGCCCAATCCTGTAAATATTTCAATGATACTGACACAGGTGTATTAAAATACATTGGAAACAATAATCTATAGCTTATGTAATAATTATTGTACTATAATATAATTATATAATTATGTAATATACTATATTTAAGTCCTTTTTTTGGGGGGAGGGTACCAGGGATTGAACTCAGGGGCTCGCGGCACTAAGCCACATCCCCAGCCCTGTTTTGTATTTTATTTAGAGACAGGGTCTCACTGAGCTGCTAAGCACCTCACCATTGCTAAGGCTGGCTTTGAATTCACAATTCTCCTGTCTCAGCCTTCTGAGCCACTGGGATTACAGGTGTGCACCATTGCATCTGGCTATTTTTAAGTTCTTATAGGTGTTCCACATCTGGGACAGTGGGACAAAATGGGTTAATATATGAAGCCCTAAAAGCTCAATTCGAGAAAGAGTCAAAATATTTGACTAGGCAATTCATAAGATCATACAAATTGCTAATATGTGTCCCTTTTCATGTTCAAGAAGAAAGGGAAGAAAGGGTTCTATACAACCCATCCCCAGTCACTTCTACCTGCTGTATTCAACCTTCTCAATTTCTCCCCTATCCCCTCATCTCTGCCTTATGAATAGTGTCCACTGTAGACATCCAATAATTGTCATCCTCTACAAACCTAAATCCTCGGGTTTATAAGAAATAGCCTAGATTCCATTATCTTCACCATCTTTGCAGTTGCTGTAAAATGGTATTTGCAGCATGGCTTGCAGAATTTCATCTCACCTCCAAGCTGCTCCTCAATTCCACCAAGGAAATGAGAAATAGGCAGCTATGTGATATGCAACCTTGCAACCATCTGTCTGAGATCACACGAGGCTATCATAGAAGTTCCAGAGAGTATTCATTTCTTATTGAGATGAAATCACTCAGGCATGTGTTAGATCCATATAGCTTCAGAGAGGACAGCAGAATTGTCTGAGTCTTCCAGAAAGCATCATCCAAAACCATGATTTTTATAGCTTTGACTGTACAATGGAATTAACTGGAAAGATTTCTAAAAAACCAATGCCTGGGTTCCATCCTGAGTTTCTGATTTAGTCAGTCTAGGGTACAACCTGGATTATGTGACATTTGAAGGCTCCTAAGTGATCTAACATGCAGCCAGGCATGGGAACCACAGATCTGAAAGAGTAGGTAAATTGATCTCAAGAAAAATTTTAAAGCCAAGTCAGAATACTCCAGGAGAAGAAGGGCGAAAAGTGAAAAGTACTCTTACATGTGTTCAATTGACTTCCTGTTATTCATTCTAAATGAAGGGAAGATCATCACAGACAACTGTAAGATCTTAGATTTGAAAGTTCCTTTATACTTTGCAAAGCATTTGATCTTATTTTAACCTCCCCACAAGCCTGGGAAGCAGACAGCTGAGCTTATCAGATAGATGAACAGTAGCTTCAAAGAGGTGAAGGTTTTGCAAAGATGTTAAGAGGGAGATTCATTTTGTTGGACTCTGATCCAGAATGTTCCACAGTCCAAAAATTCAAACAATTTTATATGTTCAGTTAAACATTTTTTTTTTCACCCTCCAAAGGGCGAAACTTTACTCATGGGTAAAGAACAGAAATATTTTATTTATTTGATTTTTCAGTGCCAGGGATGGAGTTCAAGGGCTTGTGTGCTACCAGAACAGGTGATTTTTAAGTGAACATGGAGTGGCAGAGAGATGGGAAAAAAAAGAACCAAAGGAAGGAAAGAAAAGAAAGAAAATTTCCTCAGAAAGAAAAATGAACAGCTGCCATTCATTTCTTCTTGCATTTATCTACACCTGGCCAAAAGACTGATATGCAGCAGGAGATTAGACAGGTAGAGGAATTTTCTAGTTTTCTCATCCAAGAGACCATCAGCTGGAACCTTTTATGTGGCCCTTGAAGCAAGAGTATAGGCAGGGTGGAAGCTTCTGTGAGTTACCTCGGTAAGGGATTAAAGTATGCTTTAAGTTCTCTGAAAGAACTAAGATGATTTTACAACAGTAATAAGGAAAACCATTTTAATATTAAGCTATTCATATTTCCAAAGAGTAATTTTTAGACCTTTGAGATTTCAATTGCTCTCATTCAAAGATTTGGGGGCTGGTTTAGAGGAAGCAATCTAATCTGTTTTTCCCATCCACTTCGTTGTAGCAATAGCACTCCCTTCCAGTTCACATGTTTCCCATGGGGCTATGATCTAGCACTCCAAGTTCTCAGATAGGCATGTGATCCAGGTTGGGTCATAGCACCCCACATCCAATAGTGGCAGTCATCCCAAGCAGGAACAATTAATGTGTGTGTTGTTTATAGATCAATAATCTTAGAATCTGCAAAGATAATTCCCAAATTGGGTGGTTTAACAAATAGAAGTGTATTTGTAATTCCTGTTTCATTCCATGTGGTCATTCAGGGACTCAGATTCCTTTGATCTTGTGACTGTCCTCTCTTCCGGGGCCTTGGAGTCCTATTCATTCATCCAGAGAATGGGGAAAGAAGATAATCACATTGGGGTCATGAAACATATGGAACCTTTCACATCTAACCACCTTTCATCAGCCAGATTCTGTCCCATGGCCCTCCCAAGGCAAGGAGGAGTGGTAATGCCATCTATTATGAGCCTAGGAGAATAAAGAAGCAGGTTTGGTGAACAGCTGACCAGGCACTGCCTCAAGATCTTTTTCTGGGATTAGTATCTGGGGTATTGGGAGTGCTAAACTGGGGTCACATCAGCCCAGGTACCAGCAGTTATCTTTCCTAGCTGCAGAGAGTGATGTGACCAGACTAAAAGAAGAGTCACCCTCCATGCAAAGGAAGGCAGTACACAAGAGGAAGGAAGAGAGAGTGAGGAGGAGACAGGATGGAGATGGAGGTGGGGCGAGAGGGAAAAAGAGGAGGAAGAGAAGGAGGAGGACAAATTCCACTGTATGCACCTGGAAGTACCCATTATACATAATCTTCTACTTGAGTGCAAAATTACATCTGAAGCCTCTTGTTTAAGAATTATGAAGAATTTCAAGGCAACAGCAAAAACAAACCAAGCGTGGGACCTTTCCAAGCCCTGCATGGCTGAGTAAATCACACACACATAAAGCTAAGAGTCACATATGCCCTTTCATGTTTTTACATGTGTTGCTTTTATAGGATTGGTGGCATGTTAGATTTGTTCACACCAGCGTCACCTCTAACATGAGTAAGGTGCTGTTTTACAATATTAAGATGGCTGTGAGATAACTGGGTGATGGGAATTTTTTAACTCCAATATAATCATATGGGGCCACTATTGTATATGTGGTCTGCACTAGTTGAACTGCCATTACCTGATGCACAACTCTATTTCCAGAGTCATCCCACCTCTCTTTCTCCAGAGGACCTGTTGCCTGGCAGATCAAAATATTAAGCAGAAATATATTTCTTGAGGCCTACATTATATGAGGAAAATAAGGGATTTTTAGCAATCTGGATTCACTTTGAGTCTACATGCATTTCAGTCATTTGACCAAAGAAGCCCTTGGGAAATCTCTCCCCAGGAAGCCCCTTCTGGAGTGATTCAGAGAACTAAAAGCTCAGCTCTGTCTTTTTTTTTTTTTTTTAATCAGTTAAAGAAAAGTCTAGTAAGAACATTAAAAAAAAAAATTCAAAACAGTAAACTGGAATGATTTGAATGAATGCCCAAATTGAGGTCATTTTTATTCTAATTAAGGTTTGAAAGGGGGGAAAAAACCTGTTTCTGCATGCTGTTTTTTTAGGAAAATAACAAGCCTGAGACGGGGACCATCTGTTCCGCTGACCATGTAACAAGATGTTAGATTTATTCAGACATAATGATGTGGTG